TTCCCTTCCTCCCAGAAATCATTAAAAATATATTTTAAAATACACACACATACATACATATATATATATATATATATATATATATATATATATATATATATAAAATCTTAACCCTCTCACTATTTCTGATAAGATCAGATTATCCTAGAATAATCAGGAAACCAAGTCAAACAAATTATTGGTTTACTTCCTGTGCAATGTTAATGTTTTAAAGGAAGGGAAATTTTTTTAAATTATGAATTAAAGTGAAGCAATAATTACGCAGAATTTTCAAATCAGGACTTAATGAGGATTTTTTGTTTTGTTGTGAAGGAGGAAGATATAAATATAGACCATCTGAAACTGGAAATCCTTTGCAAAGCTCTTCAGAGAGATAAGTAAGTTCTCACGGCATGAATCTAAGATATGCTTTTGGAAAGGTACTCTGTTGGGAGGGATATTATATCATCCATCAAATAATGTTGTGGCCTAATTGTATTATGTACTAATACATTTTTTGTTTATCACGTTGGGTAAATCCATTGATTGTTGATTCCCAAGCAGTGTCTCTGTGTGTTGGAATTTCTAGTGGAGAATCTCAACTAGAAAAAGCAAGCTTACCTAGCAGCACTGGTTACCTTTTCACTTTTATGAGAACTGAAGGTGTCATATGAGCGGTAACTGTGGCCTGCGCTCTCAGAGGTCCTACTCAGGGTCCCTCCCAGGTTTATTCCTTCTGCACAGAAACCCCCGGAATGATGCCTCACTACTTGGTTTTCACACCAAATACCGTACATAATGGTTGTATTTGCGAAAGGCTACCTAAGTGTGGCAGCTTATACCTCATGTAAAGAGTCTCAGTATTGTCAGCACTTAAAGCTCCCTGGTTTCAATCATTTGAAAGAGTCTCACAAAACTCACGGTTTGCTCTGCCTGCGCCCCACAATCCAAACCAACCACAGTCAGATGTTATTTATGTCACAGACGCCGTGATTTCATTTCCCCTTTGTACCGATTCTGTTTTCCAGCTGGTCCAGCTCAGACGGTAAAGATGATCCAATTGAAGTATCGAAAGACAGCATATTTGTGAAAATCTTACAGAAACTTCTAAAAGATGGTGAGTGGTTTGTTAGTATCGGACATGAAGCGTTGCTCCTTCATTTTAGAAACTTTACATCCATCAGCTGCCTCCTGCACGCCCCCTGCTGGGGATGTGCCCGCAACCAACAGACTTGTACATGCCCTAGACGGGAATCGAACCTGGGACCCTTCAGTCTGCAAGCTGACACTCTATCCACTGAGCCACACCAGTTAGGGCATGGTTTTAGATTTAAACATGAACACATTTGGAGATACGGTAGCTAGCTTTCATGGAAGAATTTCTTCCATGTTATCTCCCAAGTCGGAGAAGATATAATCTTGTGAAGTACTTGTGTCCAGGTGGTGATTACTTTAAGGAAACCCACCCAGCATGCACCTTGGCAGGATGGCGGAAGCCATGGAGAAAGAGAAGAGGTCAGGTCCCATGGAAGACCTAGCTAGACCGCTCTCTGACCACCAGGGGGGTGCCCTTTGGTGAGACCTGCCGGTGTGGGACAGATGGAGCAGCTGAAGGCAGGGCCTGTCCCAGCAGCCCCCGCCGCACAACTTAAATAGAAGCACAGGTGTTCGATTCCCGGGGGAGTTTCCTGACCATAAAAACCACCTCTGGCCGAAACCGGTGTGGCTCAGTGGTAGAGCGACGGTCTGCGGACTGAGGGGTCCCAGGTTCGATTCCGGTCAGGGGCACCTTGGTTGCGGGCACATCCCCGGTGGGGGGTGTGCAGGAGGCAGCTGGTGGATGTTTTTCTCTCATAGACGTTTCTAGCTCTCTATCCCTCTCCCTTCCTCTCTGTAAAAAATCAATAAAATATATATTTTAAAAAAAAACAAAAAAAAAAAACGCCTCTGTTTTGTCGCAGGCATTCAGCTCAGCCAGTACCTGCCGGACGTGAATGATCTGCTTCAGGCCGAGCAGCTCGGGGCCCTGAAGGCCAGTCCCTACTTCGCGTTCGTTTTGAAAGCAAATTACGAATATTACGTCCATGGACAGGGCTGACTTCGGGACATGTGCATCCTCGCCGAGAATCGGCGTCGGCTCCTTAGGAGCACGCTGGGCCTTACACGCCGCGCCTCCCCCGCTGTGTCAGACTCACTGTGAGCGCGTCTTAGACTTCACTTGGAGGCGCCTACGGACCAGCTGTGACAACCGTCTTGGATTTTAGTGACATTATTTCCTCTCCACCTTTTCTCCGTCAGAAATGTATTGGGTGCCCGCTGCCCATGCTGTCTCCTCCCTCCGCCCAGGGCGTTGAGCTCTTGTCCTGGTCCCCCTGCCGGTGCTCCCTTCCCATGGCCCCGGAGCAGGCGGGCAGGCTGGCTGTCCCTGAAGTCGCTGTGACTCGGGCGCTGCGCACGGAGGAGACTCGGGTGGGCGTCTGTCCTGCTGGTCTGTTAATAAGCGGGGTCACGGGTTGCTGGCCTGTCAATAAAGTGTTAGACGAAATGACGACGCAGAGTGGGCCTCATCTGTGTGAGCGTGGTGTCTGATGACTCGTTGGGGAAGCTTTAAATTGCACACACGGGAGTGTCCATGCGAGTGTCTTAGGGCATAAAACACGTGTGGCTCGGGGTTTCCCAGAAGCGGACGTCGAGGGCTGGCCAGGCCTTGGTCACCTCCCGACCCAGCTGGGGAGGAACTAACAGAGACCAGAGCCCGAGTGAGTGTCACAGAGACGGAGGAAGCGGACGCTGTGACCCCACAGGAAGTAACTCCCGGGGCCAGCTGGAAACGCCTCTAGGTGCTTGCCATGTGCTATGCCTTCTGCTGCTGGGAGGTAGGCTTAGTGAATTGCAGCACATCCTACCAAAATTGAAGCTATCCCCCCTCGTTTTTTCCTCTAGTGTCTCCCCTCCCCACGACATAGCAGAACACGTATTAAAAAGGAAATATGGGTCTGTCCATTATTCATCCTCCAAAATAACGGGAAAGGCTAAATGGGAACCCTGGCCTGGTAGCTCAGTTGGTTAGAGCATCATCTAACCAACTGAGGCACCAAGAGGCGCCAAGGTTGTGGGTTCCATCTCTGGTCAGGGAATCGGAAAAAAAAAAAAAAATTATATATATAATTTTTTTTATTTTTTTTTTTTTTTAAAGAAACAGGCTTTGCCAAAACCGGTGTGGCTCAGTGGATAGAGCTTCAGCCTGCGGACTGAAGGGTCCCGGGTTCAATTCTGGTCAAGGGCACATCCCCGGTAGGGGGTGTGTAAGAGGCAGCTGATAGATGATTCTCTCTAATCGATGTTTCTAGCTCTCCATCCCTCTCCCGCTCTGTAAAAAATCAATAAAATATATTTTTTTAAAAAAGAAATGAGCTTTTCTATTTAAAAAAAAAAAGAGAGAGAGAGAGAGAGAGAAATAGGACCCAAATAAATAAACATGGTTTTCTTAAGGCTAAATAGGAAACCTTAGTAGCTTTTTTAACGAATGACCCTTTGCACTTATCCAAACTCCTCCTTCTCTAATTGACTTGGGTCATTTTTAGGAAACGCGCCACATGGTGTTTTATTTCCCCGGAGAGCCCACACCTGTCCCGGTTGCCGGCTCCGTTCCCCAATGGTAATGGCGACTATTTTGGGAGCGCTGTAGGCACTTGAGAAAAAAATGACCGATTGGGTTCTGGCCCGCGCCCCGCCGCTGATGTATCCCCCAAAAGCACGCCGCTGAGTTCATCGCCAAAGATCGCTTCTCCCTGGGCAGCCACAGCAAGGTTAGGACTGTCCTTGTCCTGAGGGGTGGGAATGGGGGGGGGGAGTGAGGCAGGCAGCGCCCCCCTGACCTCCCGTGACCCCCGCTCCACCGTCCCAGGGCAGACCCAGATCCCAGGTAGTCTGAAGGCATGGAAGCCGTATAAATAGAAGCTCCAGGGCTCCGGCTCTGCGGATGATGGTGACTCCAAGGTGGACTGGTCTTGGCCAGCCTCATCTCTAAATATAAAGACGGGCGTGTGCGGCCGGTGCGAAGGAGCTGCGGCCTGTCGCACACGCAGTGCTTGTCCTTGTCCTTGTCCTTGTCCTCAGGCTTCCTTCAGTCAGAGCACCCACCGCCCCTGGGTGCTGGGTGGTGGTCCAAGGGCAGACTCCGTGAGCCTCCAAGGTTGGGGGGTTCGAAAGTAGGGCTCAGCTGGGCCCACCACCACCTGGGGCCCCTCAGTCCAGCCTGCAAGGAAGAGACCCTCCCATACGATGCACTTTTGCAGGCACCCCTGACCTGAGCTCTGGGTGCCCTGGCTTGGTGCCCCCAGCTCCTGCCTGGACCCATCCCATTCCGGGAGCCCCAGCCTCCGCCCCGCCCTGCGCCGCCCCACCCTCCTCGGCCTCCATGGTGCCCCATGCCAGCTGTCTGCCCCGGGCAGCTGCCCACACCCTCTCTGCGGTGGAGGTGGGGGCCGGCTTGGCTCTGCCCCCCTGGATTGGGGCGCCCAGGGGTAGCCATGCAGAAGAAAGTTCCTTGGGGAGGGAGGGGTCACGTTCCTTCCCTGCCTGGGACCGGGACACACCGGGTTGACTCCTTCTCCCGCCTTCTCAGACCCCCTTGGACCGGCTCCCTCCTCCCTGTAGACGCCAGGAGGGTTTGGGGTCTGAGTAAGGAACCTGGAGAAGGGGAGACACGTGGGAGCCGCTGTCCGGAGGCCCAGTGCGCAGCTCATTGCGCGCAGAGTGGACGGGGCGGGGCGGGCGGCTCCGGGCAGGACAGGTGCAGCCACAGGCGCGGGCGCTGACCCTCGCTCCACCGGGGCCCCTCCCGCCCGGGCCGGGAGACACTCCATATACGGCCCGGCCCGCGGTACCTGGGCGCGGGCCAGGCCGCTCCTTCTATGGTCAGCGCAGGGAACCCGGGCGGGGGGCCCAGGCCGCGGACCGGGCCGTGGGAGGGTCTCCAGTGCCCAACTCCCAAATATGGCCCTAAAAGGGGAGAGACATTCCTGCGGGCGGCGCGGGGGGAGCGCCCACGGGCTATATAAGCCCTACGCGGGGGCGCCCTCGGCCACCGCAGCGGACAGCGCCCCAGGAGCCTCGCTTCCCTCCGTGGCAGCCAGGGCCCCAGCCGGAGAGCGACAGGTGTAGCCACCCGTCCAGGTAGGGGCAGGAGCAGGACGGGAACGGAGGGACAGGCCCCACCCACTCACTGATCAGCCCCCGGCAGCGCGCCCTGCGCCTCGGGGACCCCAGAGCCACGCGCTCCTGGTCTCCAAGAGGATATGCCAGACCGTCCATGCGCCTTTGCACAATCTCTCCAAAATCCCCGGATCCATCCCCTCGCGGGCTGCAGTTAGCATGCGCCCAGGCGCATAAAGGGTTTTCCTTCAACGTCCCCAAACGCAAACCCTCCCAGCCGAGCGCCAGAGCCCGGGCAGCCGAGGCCTGGACTTCCCCGCCCGCTCCCAGCAGGCGCAGGGCGCAGGGTGCTGAGTCCGGGACGCGCAGGGCCGTTCCTTCTGGGACAGGGCGTCGCCGCCCTTCCCACCAGCTCCCTCCGCCCTCACACGCGCCCAGCGAGTGGGTATCAGAGCCCCATCCTCCGGGGGCGAGGCCTTAGCCCAGGGGAGGGTGGGCGCACGCACCCGGCCCCTGCCCGCAGCAGCGAAGGCACAGGGTCTCCGGGGACACCGTGCGCCTAGGGTTCCAGGCTGGAGAGATTCCCAGTGTGATTCCCAGATTCTCCACCCCGTGTCCCCCTCCCAGGCTCAGCGCAGCCCTTCCCCGTCCCCCTGGTTTGATGCGCGCAGCGTGGCTGGACGTGCCCAAAGGTCCCCCGGGCCGGGCCGGGCCGGGCCGGAGCGCGGTGCTGGGGCGGTGGGGCCTCCTGAACCGACGTGCCCTGCATCTCCGTGGCCCTTCTGTCCCTGCAGAAACCAAACACCATGTGCGACGAAGACGAGACCACCGCCCTGGTGTGCGACAACGGCTCCGGCCTGGTGAAAGCTGGCTTCGCCGGCGACGATGCCCCCAGGGCCGTCTTCCCCTCCATCGTGGGCCGCCCGCGCCACCAGGTCCGGCTACGCCTCTGCGGGTGGGCAGGGGAGGGGGGCGGACGGAAGGGGCTGGGCCGAGGTCCCAGGAGTCCAGGCGGCCGGCCGGTGCTGAGTGCTCGGTGTCCCCGCTCCGCAGGGCGTCATGGTGGGCATGGGGCAGAAGGACTCCTACGTGGGCGACGAGGCTCAGAGCAAGAGGGGCATCCTGACCCTCAAGTACCCCATCGAGCACGGCATCATCACCAACTGGGACGACATGGAGAAGATCTGGCACCACACCTTCTACAACGAGCTGCGCGTGGCCCCCGAGGAGCACCCCACGCTGCTCACCGAGGCGCCCCTGAACCCCAAGGCCAACCGGGAGAAGATGACCCAGATCATGTTTGAGACCTTCAACGTGCCCGCCATGTACGTGGCCATCCAGGCCGTGCTGTCCCTCTACGCCTCCGGCCGTACCACCGGTGAGTGCCCGCTCCCGGCTCCCCCAAATCCCTCCCCACCCCATTGCGCGCGCGCTCCCCATCCCCAAACCCCACCCCAGCCCAGTGCGTGCGCGCCCCGCAGCCCGAGCGCCAAGATCGCCGGCCTCATCCCCGCCCACGGGCCGCCCCGCTGCGCCTGCGCGCAGGTTGGAGAGGCCACTCACCCCTGCCCTTTCCCCTCCCCACCCTCCCAGGCATCGTGCTGGACTCTGGGGACGGTGTCACCCACAACGTGCCCATCTATGAGGGCTACGCGCTCCCCCACGCCATCATGCGTCTGGACCTGGCGGGCCGCGACCTCACGGACTACCTGATGAAGATTCTCACCGAGCGTGGCTACTCCTTCGTGACCACGGGTGCGTGGGGCCGGGCATCCCAGGAGGCGAGAGCGCGCGGGGAGGGCGCACGAGAGGGTCCGAGGGTCCCCGGCTCTCGCGCGCGCTGACGGCTCCCCTCTGGCCCCGGTCCCCCCCCTGCAGCCGAGCGTGAGATCGTGCGCGACATCAAGGAGAAGCTGTGCTACGTGGCCCTGGACTTCGAGAACGAGATGGCCACAGCCGCCTCCTCCTCCTCCCTGGAGAAGAGCTACGAGCTGCCCGACGGGCAGGTCATCACCATCGGCAACGAGCGGTTCCGCTGCCCAGAAACGCTCTTCCAGCCCTCCTTCATCGGTGAGCCCGGCCCCCTTTTCCCCCAGGCCCTTCCCGTCCTTCCCAGCCCTTCCGGGCCCATCCACGCCCATCCACGCCCATCTCCAGGGCGCACGGGGGTCCCCCCACCTCCCCAGCCCCTTCTCACTTTCCCGGGCGCGCCCTCCAGGCATGGAGTCGGCGGGCATCCATGAGACCACCTACAACAGCATCATGAAGTGCGACATCGACATCCGGAAGGACCTCTACGCCAACAACGTCATGTCGGGGGGCACCACCATGTACCCGGGTATCGCCGACCGCATGCAGAAGGAGATCACGGCGCTGGCCCCCAGCACCATGAAGATCAAGGTGGGCGGCCGCCCGTGCGCCCTGGGGGTCCCCGGGTCCCTGGCCCCCGCCCCCCCTCCCTCAACCTGACACCCCGCCGCCATCTCTCTGCAGATCATCGCCCCTCCCGAGCGCAAGTACTCCGTGTGGATCGGCGGCTCCATCCTGGCCTCGCTGTCCACCTTCCAGCAGATGTGGATCACCAAGCAGGAGTACGACGAGGCGGGCCCGTCCATCGTGCACCGCAAATGCTTCTAGACGCCGCGTGCCCGCCCGCAGGGCGCGCCCCTTCTCCTCAGGACGACCCCGCGGCTGCCCAGCGGCCCGGCCCCCGAGCCACCCACCCACCCACCCACCGCGGCCACTTTGTCTCCAGCAGCCGCTCCCGTCGCTGCTGCAAACCGACACAGTGTTGAGACCGTGTATATACCTTAACTTATTTACCTCATTTTGTTATTTTTCAAAAAGCAAAGCCCTGTGGAAGGGAAAGGAACAACTTGAAGCATTAAATACAGCTACTATGTTACGCGCTGCGTCCAGTTCTTGGTCGTGGGATGGGATGGGATGGGATGGGGGCGATCGGAGACAGAGAGGTGGCCAAGAGGGACCCCCTTTGCTTGCGTCACGTTCCACCATACTGAGTGCGCTCCCTACCAGACCTAAGTGAGGTCTCCCCGGGGTCACGGTCTCCCCTCTGGAGCGCATCCCGTCTGCAAACGGGCCGGCGCGCCTGGCCCCACGGGCGGGCGGGGCGCGCGCTGAGCGCCCAGCGCCCTCCCCTCCGCGGCGCGCCCAGGCCGGGGCGCTGGCCGTGGTGCTGACCCAGAGCCGCCCGCAGGGCTCGCTGCTCCACCCCGCGCGAGTCTCCGTGTTCCCCAGGCCCAAAGGGTTGTGTTTGGCGGTTAAGGAATCTGTGTTCACCTCCCTTCTCCGTTGGAAAGCCTTTTGCTTCGTGCCACGTGATGGTGGCGCAGAGAAGCGCTGTTCAGTGCGGGGAGGCTGGGAAAGAGGGGCGCCCAGATTTGGGGGTGGGGTGAGGGGGAGGAGGGAAGGCCACTGGAGCCGCCCAGCAAGGAAGTGCCTGGAAGGAGAGTAGCTCGGCCGGTGTGGCTCAATGGTTGTGCATCGACCTACGAACCAGGAGGTCATGGTTCCATTCCCAGTCTGGGAACGTGCTTGAGGTTGTGGGCTCAATCCCCAGTGAGGGAGCATGCAGGAGGCAGCCGATCCATGATTCTCTCTCATCACGGATGTTTCTCTCTCTCCCTCTCCCTTCCTGTCTGAAATCAATAGAAATATATTTAAAATAAAATGAAATAGCTGCAGTCTTTTCCCTGGCAAAGTTCCCCGAGCTGACTGGACACCAGCTGGGAGGCAGAGGGGCCTGGGGCCTTGCAGCCGATGCCAATGTGGCACCTGTCACCAGGGTCAGCTGAGCCAGGGAAAATGAGAAAATGAAGGGCAAAAGGACAAACTGAAAAAAAAAAGAAAAAAATTAATTGATTTCAGAGAGGAATGGAGAGGGAAAGAGATAGAAACATCAATGAGGAGAGAGAATCATGGATCGGCTGCCTCCTGCACACCCCCTCCTGGGGACTGAGCCTGCAACCCCAGGCATGTGCCCTGACCGGGCATGGAACTGTGACCTCCTGGTTCATAGGTTGATGTTTAACCATTGGTTATTCTTTAGCTCATTCTCACTCCACTATGGCCTTGCTAATGGGCACAGCTTCTAGTCATCAACTAACTGACAGGCTTCTTCAGCAAATGCTTACTGAGGGTGCTCTGGGCCCGGCCTGTGATGGCAGATGAAACGGTGGTGAGCCAGAAACCCAGGGGGCCCAGCCCTCGGCTGACCACGTCGTGGGGCAGACAGTTAACTCCTCGTGGTGGAAGTCTAAATTCTCAGGTGCTGGGAAGCAGGGGCGTGGGCCTGACAGCAGAGAACAAGCCAGGGCGCCTGGGGCCAGGAGCACGGGCAGGTGGAGGGACCCAGAAGGGTCAGCAGGTGTAACAGGTGGAGGAGGAGCAGCCAGGTGGGAGGAAGTGGGTGCTGCGGGAGGAAGTGGGGTGGGGGGTGGAGGATGCAGAGAGGCACCTGAGCAGACCCGTCATGGCTCAGCATTGATGTTGTCTCTCTTTTGTTTTCTTTTCTTTTCTTTCTTCCTCATTCTTTGCTTTATGTGTGTTGTTGACTCTATGACAGGCGTCTCCTATTTCTCCCCTTCCGACCCCCTCCACCCTCCCCGCCCCAGGCCTCCTTCACCCGGCCAGCTGTGCATACATGTTCTTTGGTTGATCTCTTTCCCTCTGAGGTCTTTCAGCCTGTTTCCTTTCTTTTTGTTCTAAGAGCAATGGAAAGAGAGAGAGAGAGAGAGAGAGAGAGAGAGAGAGAGAGAGAGAGAGAGAGAGAGAGAGAGAACTCTGTGACTGTGGCAGGCCTGTGTTCTCTGACTCACAGCAGATCCTCACTGAGCCGAGGGGCAGCCGGAGCTGTGAGCAGCCGGGTGTGGGAGCCAGGGACAGCTGCTGGGGGGACAGAGCAGATTTGGCCCTGAGATGGGGTGCAGCCTGGTCCCTCCTCTCAGTGGGCTCCAGGCTGGAGCAGGCTGAAGGCTCCCCAGAACGGAACATTGGCTGCAGGAAGCCCACCTGCAAGAGCAGGAGGCAGGTGCTGTTTGCATTCCCTCCCACCCAGGCACCCAGGGGGGGGTGCCTCTTAACGTCAGTGAACCTGGGGGAGCCTCCCCCTCCCAGGCTCCATCCCTTCTACCTGGTGGCTCCCAGGATCTGTGCTCTGTGCGCTGGGAAGGGGGGAGGGGGGAGGAGGAGCAGAGGAGGGATGTCAGGGAGGGAAGGGCAGTGGGAGGAGGGAAGGAGGAGGGAGGGGAGAAGGAAAGAGAGGGGAGGGGGTAGAGGAGCAGGAGGGGAAGGGAGGGGGAGGGAGGCCGCAGCTGTCTGCCAGCCCTGCTGCCTGCCACCCGGGGAGCCCGGTGCCAGCTCCCCCGCCCGCTTCTATTTTTATCCCAGCGCCTGCTCAGATCTGCCAGGCTGGGTAAGTGCCCGGTGGCAGAGAATCTGAGTCCTGTAGAGGCCTAACTGGGAATTATAAAGCCGGGAGCGCCGTCTCTTTAATTTAATAAACAGGCGCTAAGGACTGGGGCCACCGGAACAGCAGCCTGGGCTTGGCACCCCACAGGTGGGGGAGGGGGGGGGGCAGCAGGAGGGCTCAGGGAAGCTGTGCTAATGGGCACCTACATGTGACCCCAGCCAGGTGCTCAGAGCGGAGCAGACAATAGATGATCAGGAATAAGCAGAGGCCCGGCCCATGTGGCTCAGTGGTTGAGCATCCACCTAGGAACCAGTAGGTCACCGTTTGAATCCTGGTCAGGGCACATGCCCCGAGGCGGAGGCCCAGCGGCTGAGCCTGGCACAGCCGAGCGCCCGGGCTGCACCCCCAGGAGCAGGCACCCGCCCTGGGGAGGGTTCATCTTAGCCGGGGACTCCCAGGACAGACAGCTGTCCGCTCCCTCACGCGCTCGGCCTGACCCTAGAAGGAAGCAGAGGGACACTGACAAGTGGCCTGATGTCCCCCCACCCCCCGGGCTGCTTGGACCATAGAGCTGGCTCCAGACTCCAAATTAGAGCCGGAGCGGCTGGGTGGGCCCTACGGGGCGGGGCGGGGCGGGGCGGGACAGGGCCACAGAGGGTGTACCTGCCGTGCCAGCCCCCTCTGAGCACACTGAGGGGACCCCAAACCCCATTTTCTGAGACATCGCCTCTCAGCCCGTGCTGCTTCCACACATGGGGGGCTCACCCCTCCTGTGCCTCCATTTATCCACAAATGTTTGTCTTTCCTGAGCATGTGCAGGTCCCAGGGGCAAGGGCAGCCTGACCTTGAACTGCCGGGACCCTTTCTCAGGCCCCAAATGCCTATGGTGGGTGTCATGGATCTCAGGTGCTCCCTGAGAGCAGTGGCCAGCCCCCCTCCCCTCTAATCATGTGCTCCCCATCCACCTCCTTCCCTCCAGGGGGGCTCGGTGCCAGGCTGCCGTCCGAGCAGCCAGTATCACGACTGGGCTGAGGGGCCGGCCCCTCGTCTGCTAGGAGCAGTTGGCTCCTGAGGAAGCCGGAAGGATTCCCATTTTACAGATTTGGAAAATGAGGCTGAGAGTGGATGACAGGATCCCAAGCTAAAGTTGCATCATGAAGCCCATGGTACCGGGCTGGCGTGGCTCAGTGGTTGAGCGTCCACCTATGAACCAGGAGGTCACAGTTGGATTCCGGTCCAGGGAACAGGCCCAGGTTGTGGGTTCGATCCCCAGGGGGGGGCGTGCAGGAGGCAGCCGATCCATGATTCTCTCTCATCATGGATGTTTCTCTCTCTCTGTGTCCCCTCTCTCTTCCTCTCTTAAATCAATCAAGATATATTTAAAGCCGAAACCAGTTTGGCTCAGTGGATAGAGCGTCAGCCTGTGGACTGAAGGGTCCCGGGTTCGATTCCTGTCAAAGGCATATACCTTGGTTGTGGGCACATCCTCAGTAGGAGACGTGCAAAAGGCAGCTGATTGATGACTCTCTCTCATGGATGTTTCTGACTTTCTCTTTCTCTCTCTTCTTCTCTGTAAAAAAAATCAATAAAATATATTTTAAAAGATATATTTAAAATAAAAATAAATAAGAACCCCTGTCTCTGACCTGTTACTCGCTCCAGAGTCCTGGATGCCCAGAAGGAATGTGGGGGTGCTGGGCACAAGATGGCGGGAGGCATTTTCCTCCTAGAGTCCTCCCCCCACCCCACGTCAGGGTCAGCATGGACGAGAGCCCCCCACCTTCCTGAACCAGGCTTCTGACTTCTCCCTCTCCCAGTGGCCTCCGCTTTCTCGGGGCTGGTTGTCCGTTTCCCGGGCTCATTCTCCTGTCATGGGGGGCATTAGAGGGGCTGCCCGGCGCTGGCCCCGGAGCCGGAGCTGGGGAAGATGTGGGGACAGGGAGGGACAGGGAGGGACAGGGCAGCCTTCCTGGGCTGGGCTCAGCCACGACAGCTGGGCCGCATGCCTGCCATTCCCGCCAGCAGGCTCATCTTCTCGTTATAGGGCGCCTGGCACACCCGGCAGGGGGCTCTGGCCTGAGGGGAGGGCCTGGCCTGGGGGGCCCTGGCCTGGAGCGGACGCCCTGCCGCTTTAGGGCAAGGCCACCACGGGGACAGGCGGCCGGTGTCAGCTTTCGGCCTCTCCTTGCATGGCCAGGGCCCGCAGCCCGACTTCTGATTTGTGCGTATTATTAGGTCCCAGGGACACCGCCGGGCAGCCATGGGCGAGCCTCCGGGGGGAAAGGGGGGGGTCTGTCCAGGTCCAGTCTGTGCAGGGAACTTGTCCCTGAACCTGAACTTGGGGGGGGGGGCATGGGTGTAGGAGAACAGGCCCATGGCCCTTCCAGGTGCAAAGATGGAAGGCGCCTCTGGTGCTTCCAGGGCCCTTTCATGCTGCCCCCTCAGCCTGGTCTATGTGGCTCAGTGGTTGAGGGTCGACCTCTGAACCAGGAGGTCAGGGTTCGATTCCCTGTCAGGGCTCATGTCCGGGTTGCGGGCTCCATTCTCAGTGGGGGGTGTGCAGGAGGCCGCCGATCCATGATTCTCATCACTGATGTTTCCGTCTCTCTCCCTTCCTTTCTGAAATCAATAAAGATAGATACACACTGAGTGGCCAGATTATGATGATCTCTGAATGCATAATAATCTGGCCACTCAGTATATATATATATATATATATATATATATATATATATATATATATATATATATTGTGTATATGTATATTAGAGGCCAGGTGCATGAATTCGTGCATGGGTGGGGTCCGGCCAGCCTGGCCAGGGGGAGGGGACATGGGCAGTTGGCCAGCCTACCTGCTGGTTGAACTCCTGGTCGAGGGGACAATTTGCATATTAGCCTTTTATTTTATAGGACAGACGCTGAGTGGCCAGATGATTATACATCCAGAGATCATCATATCTGGCCACTCCGTGTATTTTAAACAAATAAACCAATGGACCTAGCTCCTGGCTGGCAGGGGCTTCGTTGCCCTCCCTCCCTGGAAACAGATGGGCATGTTTACCGGGCAGCTACTGGACCAGGAGAGCTAATTTTGGAAACTGGAACCACACTCCCTGGAGGCCTGGGGCCAGGTGGGCTCTTGTAGCTGAGCCTGTGGGAGGCGCAGGCCCTGCCCAATGGGCGGGCAGTTGACAGGGAGGTGATGGAGTGACAGGCAGGCATCTGGGGCATCTGGAGAGGAGGTGAGCGAGCCTGCCCCCTGCCTCTCGGAGGACTCAGGGCCGAGGTCAGGCCTGCTGAGTAGATCTGATGTGATTTTATTATTATTATTATTATTATTATTTTATGAGGCAAAAAAACTTTATGAACCTTAGCCTCCAGCTTTCCCCCAAGATCTTCAGCTGCATGAGATGCAAAGAATGAATTGTGTATGAGCAAGATTTATAAAAAGAGCTGGGGCCCTAGCTGGTTTGGCTCAGTGGATGGAGCATTGGCCTGTAGACTGAAGGGTCCTGGGTTCGATTCCAGCCAAGGGCAACAACAACAACAACAAATAAATAAAATAAAAAGAGCTGGGCCTCTCTGGCCGGTGTGGCTCAGTGGCTGAATGTCCGCCTATGAACCTGGAGGTCAGGGTTGGATTCCCAGTCAGGGCACAGGCTGGAGTTGTGGGCGCGATCCCCAATGTGGGGGTGTGCAGGAGACAGCTGGTCCATGATTTTCTGTCATTATTGATGTTTCTTCTTTTCTCTCTCTCCCTTCCTCTCTGAAATCAAAAAGGTTTGAGGTGTAGACAAGGAGTTAGACTAAATCGTGAAAATGGGTTAACGCCGGAGTCACAGAGAGGAAGGGAGAGCCTCCGGGAGGACGTGGAGGTGTTTGGTGTCAGGCTGGGGACGCGGGTGGCCAGCTGGTCCCGGACAGGGTGAAACGCGGGACCCCGGGGCGCCCACCCGCGGCTCCCCGCCGCTCTGCGCTCAGGCAGCCGCCCCCACGAGCCGGGCGGAGCGCGGGGGAGGCGTCTGCTCCGGGGACGGGGACGGGGACGGGGCGGCGTCTCCCGGCGGGGCTGCGCGGCAACCGGGCGCCATCGGCGACGTCCTGCGCGGGAGGGAGGAAAGCCGGGCCGGCGGGCCGCTCCCCGTTCCACGCGCGGAGGACGGGCCGGCGCGGCCGGAAGGAGGTAAGGCTTCCCCGCGGGGCGCTCGGGGGACGCGGAGGCCCCTCCGCTCCCGGGATCCCCAGCCCCGTCCCCGCGCTCGCGTCCTGGGCTCCTGGGCCTCCTCCTCCCCACCCCCCATCCCCACTCCCCATCCCCGCTCCCCGGCCCGCTCCCCGGCCCTCCGGCCCCGCCCGGCCCGCAGCTCTAGCTCCCACGCTCCCGATCGCCTGCCCGGGAGACCCGCACCCCCGCAGCCCGGGCCGCTGGCCCTCTCCCCCGGAGCCGCCGACTCGGTCCCACCGAGGCTCCCAGGACCTGGTTGCGAGCTGAAATGCCTGGCGAGCAGGTGCCCCCGGGACCCCCGGTCACCGAGGCCGGGCCGCCCACTCCCTGCTGCGCCCCGCGTCTCCTCCCCCCGCCCGCCCTGCCTCTCCGTTACCCCGCGCTCCTCCCCGCCTCCCTGCGCCCTGTCCCCCGCCTCTCCCATCTTCCCGCCCGCCCTCCGCGTCTCGCCCCGCCCCTATCCCCGCCTCCAAAAGCCCCGTCCTCCTATAGTACCGCCCTCCCACTCCTATCCCCGCCTCTCAAAGCCCCGCCCCAACCCGCCCTCCTATAGCACTGCCCCTCTCACCCTAGCCCCGCCCCAAAAACACCGCCCTCTAGCACCGCCCTTTCCATCTCTAGCCCCGCCTCCCAAGGCACCGCCCGCCTATAACACCGCCCCTCCCACCCCTGGCCCCGCCTCCCAAGCCCGCCCCGCCCCCCTTTACCTCGCGCCCCGCCGCCCCGCCCCGCCCCCGCCGCCGCTGCGGGCGGGGCTCCGGATTTAAATGTCGCGGCGGGCCCGGCGGCCGGAGGGCGGACGGGCCTCTGTGTCGTGTCCCCGCTTCCGCAGGCGGCGGCGGCGGCGGGACCGGCGGCGGGACCTGCGGGCACGGAGGCCGGCGGCGGCGGCGCCATGTCCCCGGGCTGCGGCGCCAAGAGCGAGTACATGAAGCGCTACCGGGACCCGCGCTGGGCCGAGTACGCGGCCTGCTACCGGGAGCTGCTGCACTACCGCCGCGGCCGCCGGCTGCTGGAGCAGGCGCACGCGCCCTGGCTCTGGGACGCCTGGCGCCCCGCCGGCTCCTCCGACGACTCGGCGTCGTCGGCGTCGTCGTGCGCCGGGAGCCCCGCGCCCCGGGCCGCCTCGGCCTCCCCGCTGCCGCCGCCGCCGCCGCCGCCGCCCGCGGAGGGCCCGGCCCGGGGGGCGCGCGGGTCCCGGGAGGAGCCGGCCGCGAAGCCCGGGGATGCGGAGGCCGGGGATGCGGAGGACGCGCCTGTGCCAGGTACCGGGCCGGGGGTGGGGGACGCGGGATCGGGGCGGCGGGGGGGTGATGTTCGGAGAACTGGAGGTGCCCTCGGCATCGCACCGCCCCCTCTTTCTTTCTTTCTTTCTTCCTTTTTTTCTTTCTTTTTGAATCCTCATCCGAGGACACGTCTCCATGGATTTTTAGGAGCGTGGGAGGGGGAGGGAGAGACGAGGGAAACATCCATGGGTTGCCTCCTGCACGCACGCCCCGATCAGGGCGGGGGCCAGGGAGGAGGGGGAGGAACCTGCAACCGAGCTAAGTGCCCTGGACCAGAACCGAACTGGGGACCCCTTCGGTCCAGTAGGGCCGACCCTCTATCCACTGAGCCACACGGGCCAGGGCTGCTTTATCCCCTGAATGAACGGGGAATCCGCCCCCCTAGAGACAAAATAAGGGAGCTGTCAACCCGCCCCTCGGCCCCCTCCCCCCTTATTTCCCTAATCTGGGGGCTCGAGCCTGCAGCGAGGGCGAGGTGGCCTTGGGGAGCCCGTGCACCCCGATCTGTGCATTCCTAAGCACCCCCCCCCTTTTTTTTTTTTTTAATGAGAAGAGCCCAGCTTTCGTCAGAGGCTCAGGGCGTCTCGCTGAGGCTCAGATCCACCGCGCTGAGCTCTCTGTCTTGTGAATGGAGCTGTTGTGTTGGGGTGTGAACCCCGGGACCTGGGGACCTGGCTGTGCGGGCCCGGGGGAGCAATTTGCATTTGTTTACACGGGGGTGACGTCACTCCGGCGGGTGGTGCGAGGGCCTGGCCGGTGGGGGGGGGTCTCCGTCACTTCCCCCGCCATTTCGCCCTCAGCAGGAGCTGGGAAATGGCCTTGGGGGGCTGTCCCCCTCTTTCCTGCCCAGAGGGCCGCAGAGTTGGGGGCTCAGCCCGGGAGGCGGGTGGCGGTTTTGAGGGCCAAGTTCAACCACTGGGATACAGTAGCCAGCGGTGCCTTCCTGCCGCCTCCTAAGGTGGTGTCTGGATTTTATTTTTATTTCTTTAAAAAATATATTTTATTGATTTTTTTTTAACAGAGAGGAATTGAGAGGGAGAGAGAGCTAGAAACATCGATGAGAGAGAAACATCCATCAACTGCCTCTTGCATACCCCCCACTGAGGATGTGCCCGCCATCAAGGCACATGCCCTTGACCGGAATGGAACCCGAGACCCTTCAGTTCATAGGCCACACCGGTTGGGGATGTCCTGAGTTTTTTAAGTTTTTAACACCTATCGGCTCTCTTTTTACCTCTGTCCTAACCCGTAGTCACAGCCCATGGCTACCCCCTCTGCATACAGGCGTCATGGAGTTTGTCAGCTTCATGACGAGTATCTACACTTCTGTGCCCGAGCAAGTGAGGCTCAGAGCTGCCCTACATAGATGGCCCTGGCTGGTGTGGCTCAGTGGATAGAGCGTCGGCCTGCAGACTCAAGGGTCCCAGGTTCGATTCCGGTCAAGGGCATGGACCTTGGTGGCAGGCACATCCCCAGTAGGGAGGTGTGCAGGAGGCAGCTGATGGGTGTTTCTCTCTCATCGATGTTTCTAGCTCTCTAACCCTCACCCTTCCTCTCTGTAAAAAATCAATAAAATATATATTTTTTAAATATAAAAGTCAACAGGAAAATATCCCCGGGTGAGGATGAAAAAAAAAAGCTGCCCTACTTCGTTGGCCCTTTTCTCTCTTTCCCAGCGCAGCCGGCAGGTCGGGTTCGGGCTCCCTATCGCTCAGGACATCGGCCCGCCCAGGGCCTCTGACCTACTTCCATCTGGCGGGCGCTGCTCTGGGCGGCGGCTGCGGGAGGTGCCCGGGGAGGGCCCGTGGCCCCCGCCCTGGGCTCCGTGGCTTCTCCTGGGGAAGAGCCTCATGGCGTGGCTTCCCGGCATCTTTCTTGATGGAGCCCCTCCTGGCGCAGACTTTTCTGAGACCCCGCATGTCCAAGGATAGCCCTCTTCCTGCCCCCCAGTCCGGCGAGGGGGTGGCTGGGCGGGGGACCCTGGTCAGAAGGAATTATTGTCTCCGCATCTGGAGGCATCGCTGGGCGGGTGTGCCTTGTGATGTTGCCGGCACAGTTTCGGTTCATTCGGATCCTAGTTCTGTTGTAGATCACACCTCCCTCCTTGGGAAACTTTCGGCGTCTCTCTCTCTTCGAGTTGACCTAATCTTCTGTAATAATAAAAGCGTAATATGCTAATTAGACAACCCAAGAGTAATATGGCCGAAACCAGTGTGGCCTGGTGGATAGATCATCAGCCTGCGGACTGAAGGGTCCCGGGTTCGATTCCGATCAAGGGCATGGACCTTGGTTGTGGGCACATGCCCAGTAGGGGGCGTGCAGGGGGCAGCTGATGGATGTTTCTCTCTCATCGATGTTTCTAGCTCTCTCTCCCTCTTCCTTCCTGTAAAAAATCAATAAGATACATTTTTTTAAAAACAAAACAAAATCAGGGGATTTATAAAGAGTGATGGATGGCAGAACCACAAAAGGCCATGAGGGGAAATAGTGGTGCTTTGGAGTGTTCACCACGGGGGCGGGCAGGCCGTAACACCGATCGCCGGCTCTGCCCACTGTACGGGGGGGGGGGGGGGCCTGTGGTCACGGGGGCATTTCTGTGGAGGGCCAGCCCCTTACACCCGGCTCCCAGGCCTCCAGCTCTTCACCCTGCGGATGTGGGTAACCATGGGAACCACAGCCTATTGTGATGGGCCTTTCAGGTGGAGGTCAGCAGCTCCCTCCTCCCTGGAGTTTGTCAGAGCCACGTGGGCCTCGTCCGTCCGGAGGGGGGAGCATCGAGGGTGAGGGGAGCCTGGAGCTTGGGTTGAGCGACTTACAAGGGCACCTGTGTAGCTGCTGGGTGATTGTCACCAATCCAGACCCTCCACCCCGACCTGGGATTTGTCTTGGGGTTTGGAGAAAGCCATTAGGCCAAAGAGGTCCCTTACTTTAAATAAATAAATAAATAAATAAAATTAATTAATTTAATTAAATCAGAGAGGAAGGGAGAGAGGGTGAGAGAGAAACATCAGTGGAGAGAGAGAATCATGGATTGGCTGCCTCCTGCACGCCCCCTGCTGGGGATGGAGCCCACAACAGGGGGCACATACCGGACCTGGGAATCCAACGGTGGCCTCCTGGTTCACAGGCCAACGCTCAACCACCAGGCCATGCCACCCGAGAAGAGATCTCTTAATGTTTAGTCTCAGAAGCCCTAGCGGGTTTAGCTCAGTGGATAGAGCGATGGCCTGCGGACTGAAGGGTCCCGGGTACGATTCCAGTCAAGGGCATGTAGCCTGGTTTCAGGCACATCCCCAGTAAGTGGTGTGCAGGAGGCAGCCAGTGGATGGTTCACGCTCATCCATGTTTCTCTCTTCTCCTGCTCTCTCTGAAAAATCGATAAATGATTCTCTAAAAGAAAAGTAAATGAAATAAAAATGGGGCCTCAGGTTCGAAACCGCTCCTTTTGGCATCTGCGTTAAGCGAAACATGCAAACAGGACGATCGGTGAAAAGGTTACTGCCTCAGTGAGGCTTACTGTGTCCTTCAGCCCAGACAGCTAGAGGAACTAGACTCCAGCCCAGGTTTTAAAGCACCTAACTCTTGTCTTCTCTTTTTCGAAAAAGCACCGCCAGTCAAAGGCAGCAAGGAGAAGCCGGAGGAGGAGGCCGGGATGGCGGGGACGGACCGGGCGCCCGGCTGCACCAGACCCCGCCAGCACCCCAGCGCCCTGTTTGCCCGACGGGACAGGAAGGCGGCCCGAAGTCCTCCCAGGTCCTCGAGTAGAACGAGAGAGAGCAAGCACCCCTTCGCTCTGTACGGGTGGGGGGAGCGGCGGACCGACACGGGCGGCCAGAGGACCCACAACGTCTGTGCCTCCGCGCCCGTGCACGAGGTGTGTGCGTGTGTGTGTGTGTGTGTGTGTGTGCGTGTGTGTGTGTGCGTGTGCGTGTGTGTGTGTGCGTGTGTGTGCGTGTGTGTGTGTGCGTGTGTGTGTGTGTGTGTGTGCGCGCGTGTGTGTGTGTGCGTGTGTGTGTGTGCGTGTGTGTGTGTGTGTGTGTGTGTGTGGGGTGGGCGTGTCTCGGCTTCCCCTTGGAGGGAGGGGGAGGGGGAGGGGGAGGGAGGGCACAGGTGTGCTCCTTGGAGGGACAGTGCACTGGGTCCTTCATCCTGTTTTATTATTTATTTTTATTGATTTCAGAGAGGAAGGGAGAGGGCGAGAGAGATGGAAACATCCATGATGAGAGAGAATCTCGGATCGACTGACTCCTGCACGCCTCCTAATGGGGATCGAGCCCACAACCCACAGCAGGGGGTGGGCAGGAGGCAGCCAGTCCATGATTCTCTTTCATCATTTATGGTTTGTTGTTTTTTTTCTCTCTCTCTCTGTCTCCCTTCGAAATAAATAAATATACACACTAGAGGGCTGGTGTATGAATTCGTGCATGGTGGAGTCCCTCGGCCTGACCAGTGATTGGGCATGATCGGGGATGGGTGGGGGGAGAGGGGAGCAGGACCACAGGAGGCTGGTCAGCTGCAGGGGGTTGGCTGTGGGAGTGCACTGACCACCATGGGGCAGCTTCTGTGTTGAGCATCTGCCCCCTGGTGGTCAGTGTGCGTCATAGCTACCAGCCAGTCATCTGATCATAACAGTCACTTAGGCTTTTATATATATAGATATATAAAAAAAAAGCAGCAGCAGGAGGAGAAAGCGGAGACTGCTTGAATTCTGATTAAATGCCATAATCCCATTTTTACCAAACAGCCTTCTAAACCCCGGCAGATGGTGTTAGTTAGCGGGATATCTGAGACAACAGAGCTGGGGTTTAACAAAGACCGGCTGGTCCCTGGGGTCAGGTTTAACCAGGCGTATCTATGGCATCAAATGTCCGAGGTGGCACCGTCCCTGGAGGATTTTTCTTTTTTCTTTTTTAACTGCTTTGCCGTAAAACATTGCCAGTCCTTTCCTGGAATAGGTGCCCATGCTCCAGGCAAAGCCGCTGTGGTGATTTTCCAGAGCCAATCTCTAGAAAACTGGCTGCTTAGCGTTTGCATCTCTCCCCTGCCTTCCCTCTGAGGTTTCATGGTCTGATCCATGTTTCTCTGTCTCTGGATCTATTTTTGTTCATCAGTTTATATTGTTCATTTAAATATTTTTAAATTTTTTAAAAATATATTTTATTGATTTTTCACAGAGAGGAAGGGAGAGGGATAGAGAGTCAGGAACATCGATGAGAGAGACACATCCACCAGCTGCCTCCTGCACAGCCCCCTCCTGGGGATGTGCCCGCCACCAAGGCACATGCCCTTGACCCAAATCAAACCCGGGACCCTTCAGTCCGCAGCCCATCGTTCTACCCACTGAGCCACACTGGCTAGGGCTAAATATTTAATATATAATTATTCGCGCAAATCGGTTCAAAAAAACCTCTGACGTCATTTCCGCTTTTGTTTCCCTTTATGAACCGCCCCTCAGATCCATGAGTCGGCGCTGCGGGCCAGGAACAGGCGGCAGGTGGAAAAGAGGCGGCTGGCGGCTCAGAGGCAGCGCGCGCACTCGGCGGACGCGGAGAAGGGCCGGAGGCCGGCGCCGGCCGCCGCGGACAGCCCGTGGGTCACGGAGTACATGCGGTGCTACTCGGCCCGCGCCTGACGGGGCCTCGTCAATAAAAGAGAGAAAAGAACCAGAACTGCAGGCTCCCAGGGGCGCGGGGCGCGGGGTGCGGCCCGGCCCCCTCCCACCCCCGGCCTGGGCAGCAGCACCCCCGGAGCCATCGACGGGGATCGCCCCTGCGTCTCAGCTCCTCCTTTAGGGTTGTGTCTCGAAGCATCTTCATCCTTTAAGACACCGACACCCAACGCCTTTCCGTGGCTGGAGATGCTCCAGAGCCGATGTTTGTCCTGGAAGTTTTGGGCCTGATCGTCCCGGCTTCAAGGACCTTCCACATTCCACGGTGGATCCTGCGCCTTCAGCATCGGAGGCCCCGTCTGCGGGAGCCAAGGTCAAGTCCACGGCGGCTCTGAACGGACGTCAATGCCGCGGGCCACGGAGCCGGGAGCCGGGCCACGGAGCCGGGAGCCGGGCCGTCGTTCCGGCCAGCACTTCGGGCGGCTGTGGTCGCAGGGAGGGTCCTCTGTCCCAAAGCACTTCGGGCGGCTGTGATCGCGGGCGGGCACCTGTCACCCCACAGTGCGGATGCGCCCGGGGTGCGGCGCGTCCTGGGAGTGGGTGGGCGGAGAGCTCAGGAGGGTGACGTGGACGGGGAGGCTCGGCGTGGCCTTGCCAGGGGTGCCGGTCACCCGTGCCATGGCCATCAAGCCCGTAGACCCCACGAGGACCGGAGGTCAAGGCGGGTGGTCAGTGCGGTGCAGCCGATGGGCAGGCCACGCCCTACTGTCCGGGTTTGGGGTTAGCCATTCAGCCCAAGTGCTTGTGACGCAACTGACAATCTTAGGAAGAAAGTCCCCCCCCAAACCCCCCCAAACAGACTGCCTTAGACCCCCAGCTTCCTGCCTGGCCGGTGTGGCTCAGTGGGTGAGCATCCACCTGTGAACCAGAAGGTCATGGTTGGACTCCCGGGTACGGGCTCCATCCCCAGTGGGGGGCGTGCAGGAGGCAGCCGATCCATGGTTCCCTCTCATCGTGGATGTTTCTATCTCTCTCCCTCTCCCTTCCTCTCTGACATCCACAGAAACATATTTTAAAAATAAATAAATAAGTAAACCTAGCTTCCTCCAAGCTTTCAATAAGCCACACCCCTTCCTTCAGAAAACACTCCTATTTAATGAGCTTACTACTGAAAACTCCAGAGGGAGATCTGGAAAGACCTGGCCACATCTTCCCCCCACCCCCAGGATGTTTTTCTAGGGATTTTTTTTTAGGGAGAGGGAAGGAAAGAGAAACATAGATGTGAGAGAAACTGGTTGCCATCTGCACGCACCCTGACCAGGGCCTGGGCCGGGGGGGAGCCTGCAACTGAGGTCCGTGCCCTTGACCAGAATCACACCCCCGTACCCTTCAGTCTGCGGGCCGAAGCTCTATCCACTGAGCCACCCGGCTAGGGCTCCCCCCCCCCCCTTTTTAAGTAAAGGTCAAATGACCAGGATTTTTAAGGTGATTTTAATGTGCATGAACCATGAGCAGTTCCGCACGAATGAACTGTGAGAACACTTCCTGTGTCCGGCCCTTGAAGGTCTCAAGTCTAACTTGGGCGCCTACGGAAGGCTGTAAGTTGTAACCATTTGATGGTCTGGAAACTCCTACGTAACCGTGTTCTTCAGTCTGGGGCCGACTGGCAAGACAAGCAGGTGGTTTAGAAAAATCCCCTTTCATGCTGGAAAGTGGGGCTTAAACTGTGGAATAAAATCATGGCTTCCTAGACTTTGAAAACGTCGGCTTCCAGCTCGTCATGGAAACAGTTTGCCAAGCGTCTGTTACAGCATCGAGGGAAGCCAAAGGCTCACCACCCACACTCGCCGGGAGAAGTAAAATGGAATTCGTTCTTTTTATTTTTTAATAAAAAACCTAAAAGAGTCTCTCACTTGGTACCTCTGGGTATGTTTAGGCCTTCCCACCCCGAAAAATTCCTAAGCACACAGACACATGTTTTAAAAATATATCTTACTGAGCCGAGACCGGTATGGCTCAGTGGATAGAGCGTCGGTCTGTGGACTGAAATGTCCCGGGTTCGATTCCGCTCCATCCACTGAGCCAAACCGGTTAGGGCTCCTTGAGCCTCTTAAAGACTCGAGCGCTTTAACACTTTGCTGAACCAGCAGATACAAGTGCCCAGAACCAGGGGCCCTCCAGGCGCCAGAGCCGCCCCAGGAAAGTGACCAGAACCCAGGACATAGCCAAGGGGCCCTGGACCCCGGCCCACAAGCGATCGGGTGCCTGGCTCTGCCACTGTTTTGGCCTGGACCCCGAGCAGCGCCAGTATGTGCTGGGGTGGCCCCTCCTCAGGGGTGATCGAACCCATGACACCGAGGAGAGTCTGTTTCTCTCCCGGACACAGCGATTACACGTGGGCGCTGCCCCGCCCGTGTGGCTCAGTGGTTGAGCTTTGACCTATGAAACAGGAGGTCAGGGGTCCGATTCCTGGTTGGGGGCTCCATCCCTGCTGTGGGGGTGCAGGAGGCAGCCGATTCATGATCCTCTCTCATTATTGGTGTTTCTCTCTGCCCTTCTCCCTTCCCCTCTGAGATCAACAACATATTTAAAAAAAAAAAACAAGAAAAAAATCTCACAAAACCTTTTCCAAAAACCCAGCAAGCAGAATAGCAAGTAAAACCAGGTTTGTGGTCTGAGGGCGCCGCCTTGTGGACATCTCTGAAATTGCGTCTGCTTACATTTTTTTTTTAGGCGATCCCAAAGCAAAACTACAGAAAAGTCACTAGCAGAGACGTCTCTTCATGAGCAATCTGAAATGACCCGTGTGGTACCCCGTGACACCCCCACCAAATATTGTAATTTTTTCTCACAAATACCAGGGGCAATTTTCTATAAACCAGGGCCTCCTCCTGCACAGCCATCAGCATTGGGGGGTTCACACTGATGCGTGTCTGCCGTCCAGTCCTCTGACGGGATTGCCATGTGGCCCGTTGTCCCAGGAACGCCCTTGCAGGCTGCCAGAGAGCCCGCTGACACCCCCTTCCCGGGAGAGGCGCCCTTTGCATGGAGTCTTCACCCCTCGGTCCCCCTCCTGGAACCTGTCACAGACTGAGCGCTTTCACACTTTGCTGAAGCGGCAGATACTAATGTCCGGAATCGGGGACCCTCCAGGCTGCAGAGACGCCCCTGGTACACAATCAAAAACTCTGAAAGCCCGGTAAGCAAAATGGCAAGTGCACATATGTGGATTTGATATATGCGATTTGATACGGATGCGATTTGATACGGATGCTATTTTGAATAACAATCTTCAAAACTTCATATTTTCTGAAGGCGTTCACATCATAGTTATTTTAAGGCCTAAAAATGTCGAGTTTAATGCCAAAGAAAAGAGCATTTGCAGGAAGTTTTAGTTCATTACTAACAGCTGCCTCTATGGGGGGAAATCCCGTTATTAATCCATATTCCTGGTAAGACCACTTCTGTGATGTTATGTCGCCGTCTTGTGGACACATGTGGAATTGCACCGTTTAATTTTTTTTTTTTTTAGCCACCCCAAAGCCAAACTGCAGTAAAGTGACAAGCATAGCACAGAGATGTCTCTTCACGAGCAACCTGAAATCCCCCGTGTGATGCCCTGTGACCCCGCACATATTAATAATTTTTTTCTCCCAAATACCAGGGGCAATTTCCTATAAACCAGGGCCACCTCCTGCACAGCCATCAGCATCGGGTGTTCCCTCTGATGCGTGTCTGCTGTCCAGTCCCCTGACAGGATGACCATGTGGCCCGTTGTCCCAGGAACGCCCTCGGCAGGCGGCCAGAGAGCCCGCTGACACCCCCTTCCCGGGAGAGGCGCCCTTTGCATGGAGTCTTCGCCTCTCCCGGTCCCCCTCCTGGAATCTGTCAGACCCGAGCGCTTTCACACTTTGCTGAAGCGGCGGATACTAATGTCTGGAATCGGGGACCCTCCAGGCTGCAGAGACGCCCCCTGGAACTCAAACAGAACTGGGGACGGAGCCAAGGCGCCCCGGACCTCTGAACCCCAAGAGATGGGGCGCTAGGGGGACCCCCTCCGCAGGGGTGGATCAGACCCATGCAAATGCAGTGTGAGCCCTAGGTTAATGCGGTGCTAACCCTGAGTTAACAGAGTTAACAGCCCACAGCCAAGGAGTCCTTCTCTCGCGGGCACAGCGATTGCACCTGTGTGCGTCCGGGCAGTGTGGCTCAGTGGTTAAGCTTCGACCTGGGAACCGGAAGGTCTCTGATCTGATTCCTGGTTCGATGCCTGGGTTGAGGCCGCCATGCCTGGTGTGGAGGTGCAGGAGGCAGCCGATTCTCACTGTGGATGTGTGTTCCTGTCGCTGAAATAAATGAAAATGGGTTTTTCTCTCAGAGAGAAACGCAGGGGTGGCTGTGCCAGCTTGCGGGGCTGCGGGTGGGGACGGCCTGTGAGGTGAGGGGGCAGCGGCAGGAGGCCTGGGAGGAGGCACTTCAGGAGGCAGAGGAATGAGTGTCTCTCTCGGGAGGACCCTGTGCTGGGGCCACCTGACCGTGGCTGCAGGGTCGCAGGCTGGGGGTGAGGGTTGGGGAGCGGAGTCCCTCCCGAAGGACCCGGAGCTTCCAGGGCCTGGTAAGTTCGCCTCCAATTCTCAAGCAAATGTTCTTTTTGTCTCTGTTCTTTGGAGCTTTGACTGCAGAGGAGACCGTTAAAGCCACCGATGCCCTCCGGCCGGTGTGGCTCAGTGGTTGACCTTCGACCTATGAAGCAGGAGGTCATGCGGTTCCATTCCCGGGCAGGGCACATGTCAGGTTGTGGGCTCCATCCCCAGAGTGGGGTGTGCAGGAGGCAGCCGATGGAAGGTTTTCTCTAATCACTGCTGGTTTTTTTTTTTTTTTCTCTCTCTCTCTCTCTGTCTCTCTCTCCCTGCCCTCTGAGATCTATAACATATTAAAAATAAAAATAGAAAAAAACCTTCTTAAATCCCGGTAAGCAAAATGGAAACTACAAATTTGATACATATGCTATTTTGAATAAACAATCTTCAAAACTTCATGTCATATTTTCTGAAGGCGTTAACATTATAGATATTTTAACGCCTAAAAATGTCGAGCTTAATGCAAAAAAAAAAGCATTTGCGGGAAGTTTTATTTCATTACTAATAACTGCAATTATGGGCGGGAAAAACAACCGTTATTGTTATACCTGGTAAGACCACTTTTGTGATGTTTTGTCGCCGTCTTGTGGACACTTCAGGAATTGCATCATTGGTTAAAAATTTTTTTTTAAGCCATCCGAAAGCAAAACTAAGGCAAAGTGACAAGTACAGCACAGAGTTCACTAGCAATCTGAAATTACCCGTGTGATGCCCTGTGACCCCGCCCATATTATAATTGTTTTTCTCCAAACACATTGGCAATTTCCCATAAATCAGGGCCTCCTCCTGCACAGCCATCAGTATTGGAGTGTTCACGCTGATGTGTCTGCCGTCCAGTCCTCTG